GGAAAGAAGAGAGGCCCGCATCCACTCCCGCTGGGCAGGCCGGGTCACAGCATCCGAGAAGCTGTCATGGTGACGAAGTCCTCAAAGCTGAGCCGAACGTGGCCCTGCACGGCGGTGTCCTTCTCCCGGAAGGCCTCGGTCAGCACCTGCAGCTGGGTGCACACCTTGATGAAGCAGTCGAGCTGCATGGCCGGAGTGGCGGAGCGCGGGCAGTAGCGGGAGACCAGGAGCTGGGTGAACTGAGGACTCAGGTTGTAGCCCATCTGGGACAGAGCTGGAGAGGGGGGCACAGGGGCGGAGGCCTGCGTGAGCACATCACTACTGAGCAGCACTGCAGTGCGGCAGAGCAGGGGACCTGGGGGGCATCAGCTCAGAAGCATGAGGAGGACGGAGAAGTCCTGCGGGTCCAGCCAGATGTCAGGAGCACAGGAGGTCTCTGTGGATACCCCACCCCCATCTCTTCACTGTCAAGGTTCATGAGATCCCCGAGAGGCCAGCGCTCTCCCTGTGGCCATCTCGTGCATCTGAGCTACAGAAGGAAGTGTGAGCCACTAACCACGCTGGAGAGACAGATGTCACGCACAGCACGGAGGTCACAACTGTCCTGGAGGCAGGCAGTTCTTGGTGCCCCTGCTGAGCCTCTCCAGGCCCTCACTGCACTCAGGCAGGGTGATACTTAACCTGTGTTTCTAACGAGGGTTAAAGGCAGTCGTGGAGGCCCTCGGCAGTGTCCCCCCACAGTTCCTGCTTAAATAAAGTCATACCCCATATGAGGCCACAGCCCGCATGCCATTTCTGACCTCCCACTGACAGACCCTGCCTTTCCTGTATTCCTTACCTGCCCAGGAGAATCTGAACTCTGCTCTGTGAGCACTTGGGTTTTGTCACTCATAAAAGGGAGACCAGCGGGGATCTCTACCCGTCTGTGTGGGATGGCCAACAGGATCCAGCCCCTGGGAAGATGGATTTCAGGAACCTACTGCAATGTCTAGCCCAGTGCCTAGGGCATGGCGAACACTCACTAAGTCCGAGTCTTGTTGCTGCTATCGACCTCACCAACATCAGTGAAGGAAGCTGCCCAGGCAGTGTTCAGTCCCGATCACCTTCCCTTCTAGCAGGGGCAGGCGTGGCATGCTTACCGCCACCCACAGGCCTTCATCTGAATGAGATGCACAGCCTGGACAAAGGACCCGGACTCTCTGGGCTGCCTTTTCCCCTCTGAGGTGATGAAACTTCTCACTGGGTTCTCAGAGCCACGTCAGCCATCTGTCCTAGTAACCTACTGGCCTGAGCCCAGGCTGCAGGCTTGACCTACAGAGTCAGGTTAGAACCAGATGTGGAGCTAGGCCCCAGGTCCCCGTACCCAGTCACAACTCTGAGGACCCACCTCTGGCCAAGTGGCAGCCGAACCTCTCCAAGCCCTGGAGCCGGGCTCTTTCCACACCGCATGCAGGGACAGTAAGACAGAACCACCCTGCTCTCCAAGTTCCCAGCTCTCTGATGCCACAGGGGCTGTTCCACTCAGTCCTGTTACCAGGGAGCCCAGCACGGGTTCCAGACCCAGTGTTGCCTGAGCCCCAGCCGGGGTGCAGACCAGGTGGAATGAGGGCAGAGGTGGGCACTCAGGATTGTCGGAAGGCATGAAGAGGAGTCTAGGTGTGCCACGCCCACTGTCTAGGTGTGCCACGCCCACTGTGCCCACCATGGCCCTTACCTTGCTGCAGCTCTGCGGAGCTGATGGATCCAGAGCGGTCCCGGTCATACTGCTGGAAGAGGCTCTTCCACTGCTGGAGGAATTTCCACAGGGCGGAGAAGCCCACGACATCAATGCGGCCAGACTTGGTCTTGTCGAACATGTCTGAGTAGGAGGAGGGAAAGGGCGGAGGAAGGCTTCAAGACTGGGGGCCAAGGGCACCACTGAGGCAGCCCTTCTCCCAGGCTGAAACAATGCCTGTGCCTGAGACATGGCGCCAACGGCAGTACTAGCTCTTCCCCTGGCTGCTCTGGGTCCTCCTGGCCCATCCAGATTCTGCGGGGCTGGTGACTTAGCTCCAAGACTTGGGTGCATGCTGACCCCTTTCCTGCAGTTTCCTAATAGGGGAGGGCGTGTCTGGCTGCAGAATGGGAAACTGGACCAGCCTGAAACCTAGCAACCTAGAACTTGACAACGATCCATGGTAAAGGAGACTGCATCTTGCAGCCCGCTTCCTCCCTGGCTAGAGTTTTCCTCAGACTGACTACTTTGCCCGCTTCCGTCACCCGTCAGGTCGATTGGACCCAGCTGAAGTCCGCATACTCTTGGAAGGGTGGAACTCACTTATCATCATGAGGCATGTCTCATCATTGAACGAGGACCAGTTGGAGTTGACTAGGGCCTGCTTCAGCTCCTTGAGGGAGATATAGCCACTGTGATCGGCATCCACTGACTGGAACCAGGAGTAGGCCTCGGGATCCACATTGGGGGGGACACCACCTGGAGGAAGGGGTGTGAACCACGGTAGTCAGACCCAGGTCAAAGAAATGCCAGGGAGCCGTTCTGGGCACCTCCCTGGCCAGAGGCTTTCTTTTCTGTCCTGCTTATCTTTAACTGCCCCCTTGACACAGCCTGGAGTCATCTGAGAAAGGAGTTCAACTGAAGGATGGGATTGCCCAGATCGCACTGGCCTCTGGGGGATTGTCTTGACTGTTAATGGATGTAGGAGGGTCCAATCTGTGGGTGGCACCATTCCCTGAGTAGGGGGTCCCTGGTTGTTTATGAAAACTAAGAAAGTGTAAGCCTGCAAGGGAGCCAGCAAATAGTGTTTCTCCGTGGTTTCCGCTTCTGAGTTCCTGTCCTGACTTCTCAATGATGGACTACAACCTATAAGGTGAAATAAGCCCTTTCCTGCCCTAACCTCCCCTTGGTCAGGTTTTACCACAGCAACAGAAAGCAAACTAGAACACCCACCCACCCACCAAGCCTCCACCAAGCCCACTCCTCCTCTGAGGGAGGCTTGCGCATCACCTCCCGAGGGCTGGCAGTTATTCCTACAGCAGAGTCCTGCAAAACTGTGTGCAGTGTGCCTATCACTTCTCCATGATTTTACCTTTCCACGCCTCCAGGACAGCGAGAACGCTCTGTAAATGGCCTGAGGGACGGACCGACAAGGCGGAGAAGCAGAGTCATCCGTCCTAGTGAACAGGGTTAACTGGGCACAAAGGGGCTTCTGCACACACGGAGGACCAGAAAGAGACCTGGGCAGCATGCAGGGCAGACCCAGAGGTGAGGCCTGGGCAGCATGGAGGGCAGACCCAGAGGTGAGGCCTAGGAGAAGGCTTGCCTGGCTGAGGTCCAGTGGAGGAGCCTTGCCAGGCGGCCTGCCCACCTTCAGACAATGGGCTGGTTGGTGTTTACTGTCGACCTGGCACAAACTCAGCTGAGGATCTGCTCAGATCAGAGCTCTAAGACACTGGTCAGCGGGGGACCTCACAACAGCGACAGCACACTGCAGACTTTCACTGCCTGAGAGGCAGTACCTCCAAACCCTGCAGGTCGGCCTCTGAGGGTCCAGAAAAACGCCCTCCAATCGGGGTCTGAGAGTCAGCGTCTGCAGTGGAGAGCAGGGACAGAGACTGTTTTGTCGAGATAAGCTGTTTTTTGAAACTGCAGGGAGGGATGGAAGTCAGACTCCTGCTTCTGAGACCTCAGGCTCCTGGGCCAGCTCGCTAGAACTCCAAGGCTGCGGGTTTCTTGAAGTCTTGGGACCATTTTATGGCTCTGGTTTGGGGGCGGGGATTTCCGTTAAGACTGGTTTGTGGGACGGTCTTATTGGTGGCTGACAGAGAAGCCCACTGTGGGCAGGACCATCATCCCTAGGCAGGTGGGCCTGTGCCGAAGAGAAAAACTAGCTGAGCACGAACCGGGGAGTGAGCGAGAGATCAGATAGCAAGTGCTCGGCCTTGGTTCTGCTTTCCGCTTCCTGCCTCGGTTCCCCTCGATGATGGACCACAACCTGTAAGCCACACAGACCCTTTCTTCCTCCAAGCTGCTTTGGATCGTGGTGTTCTTCACACCAGACACCAGACTAGAACAAGCAGGGTGGCGGGGGAGGGAGGAAGGTTCTGTGACAAGCGTGCCTGTGTGCTCCACACAGAAGAATTCAGCTTTAGATTCAAGGTAGATCTGGATTCCAGTCCTGACTGGTTTTTACCAGTTGTGCAACTTCAGGTGAAATAGGTCACTTTTTTGAATTCCAACTTCCATATTTATAAATGGAACCACTTCCAAGAGTGGTTGGAACGATCACGTGAGACAAGAGCAAAATAAAGTCCCCAGCAAAGGCTGGGATGGGGGTGGTGGGAGACATGTTCAGAGAAGGGGTAATTCAGCTGTTTTTGAAGGAATGAGGAGCTGTGGGGGAGGAGAATGCATCAGAGGCTCAGGATGCATTCCCAGCACTCCGAGCAATCTGCTGGATGGAAGGCCAGGGCTGACAGCAAATGCAAGGCCAGAGGCCCTTTGGGATCTTTCTGCAAACAGAGGAGAACCTCCAATGGCCAGGTCTGTCACCTACGAGGAGGACTTGGACTTGGAGGTGGGACTTCCCAGGACTAAGGCTACTGCCGCATAGATCAGGATGTATGCAGTACCGCTCCCAGGGGTTGCCAGCTACCCTGCTAGGAAGCAGTGCAGCCAAATGCAGGAAGCCACAATGCAGCCAAATGCAGGAAGCCACAATGCAGCCAAATGCAGGAAGCCACATTGCAGCCAAATGCAGGAAGTCACAATGCAGCCAAATGCAGGAAGCCACAGAGGGAGGCTAGGCACGTGAGGCACGTCCCTCCTTCCCTCCTCTGCCCTGGGGAACAGGGCTCAGAGTCAGGGGCTCCTTCCCCTGCAGACTTTCTATGAGCTCAGACACAAGGTCTTAGAGGACATGGAAATCCACTGCAGAGCTGAGCCGGAAGCCAACAGCCAGATGCCTGGGTTCTGAGAGGATAAATACCAATGGCTGGCTGTGCTCAGAACCCCAGAGGTTTGGGCATCTCCCCCAGGGCCACCTGCCTGGGTACATCCATTCAGATGCTGCTTGCTTCCTAAGCATAGCATTCCCTGGAGGCCCCTCTCCTGGGCCAAAGCAGTCCCTGGCTGCCTAGCTGGTGCGAGAACAGCCACTCTGTGAAGGAGCTGACTGAAGGGAGCCCGGAAACGCAGGGGCTGGCACCACTTTCCCCAGCCCCGGCTCTGCAGTCTCTGGCCTCCCTGTCTGGTCCAACGCCTCCTCTCCAGCCTGTTCCTTCCTCCCCTTCTCTCCATCCTCATTTGCCACAGCTACCATCACATTAGACGCCAACATTCTTCTGCCCTCTAACAAGTCTCTCACAGTGCTGTCCACTAAGCCCAGAGGCTGTGCCCAGCATGAAGGTGCAGCGTCACATTTAATCCGGATGAGTCAGCGACACTGTGAGGTAGTGACACTGTCCCTATCTTACAGAGGTGGACACTGAGGCAGAAAAAAGCAGTCTCGGCAGGTCAGTGAGTGTCTGACCTCAAAAGCTTTCACTAGGGACGACATCTTTTCTTTCCACAGATGTGGTCAGTCACTCTCTGACAGGAATGGAGTTTCTTCTCCTGTGGACCACCACACTGCTGTCTCCAATTATCGGCTGATCTCCCTTTCCAGTACAAGCATGGTACACCCTCTCCCACTGCCTGTGAGAGGAGCACCATCTCCTGCTGGGGTCAGGCTCCACAACAGGATGTGCTTCAGCCAAAATAACATGAGGAGAGGAGACACAGTACTTCAGAGAGGACCTGAAGAGCTACCGCCCAGCCTGGCTAGCTTCTTACTTTCTCTCCACCCTAAGGACAACAATGCCCCCAAAGGGGATGCTCCTTCAGCACTGATCCCAGAATGAAAAGACACATGGAGCAGAAACTCAGCTGCCAACCTGCAGCTGCTGACCACGAGCGAGAGTGAGCAAGCAGTAGAAATACATGCGTGTTGTAAGCCGGGAGGACTCGGAGAAAGTTGGTCCATTCTACCAGTCTAGGCAAAGCAGGAAGCGAGGGGCTACAGTGCCAGAGACCGGGGTACGTGCACATCCTCAGGAAGGAGGAAGATGGGACACGGATAGCTTAGACCAGGTCCGAGGTTCTAGATTGGGTTCCAGAGCTGAAGGTTCTACTTACCCTGTCCATAAGGTCCAGGATGCTGGGCACCATAGGAACTCGGAGGTGGCTGACCGTAGGGGCCCCCTGGAGGTACACCACCATATGGTCCAGTTGGAGCTCCAGAGGGGAGTCCCCCAGCACTGGGGTATCCATAGGGCCCTCCAGGGGCAGGTCCTCCATAACCACCACCAGGGGGGAGTCCACTGCCATACTGGCCCCCACCATGGGGAGGTCCGGGGTAGTAGCCCCCCGGGGGTGCTCCAGGTGCCTGTCCTGCAGCTTCTGGGCAGCTCTGCGGGCAGAAGAGGCACAGCAGGGTGAGGAGGGAAGCACAACTGGACAGCTCCAGAGCATCTGCCCTGTCCCTCTTAGGACGGACACCACAGGGGAGGGTGGACTTCCAGCTCTGCTCAGGTGGCCTTGAGGCTTCCAGTTACCCAAGGGCACACCAAGGGCACACCGAGTCCAGGCTGGAATCTTGTCCTCCAGACTCCTCTCTCCTGCACATCAAGGACCCTACAAGGCCTGGGGTCATGTCTGGCTAGCAGCTTTATCCCCAGCTTCCAGTGGACAATGGATACTCAGTAAATACTTGTATTATATAACAGGCAAATGAGCCCGGTGGAATGCTCCCCCTTCGGGACCTCCACCTCCACCTGCAGAATTCACAGCATGAGTACAGTCTTTACCATAAAGCCCTGTCCCGCATCAGACCACGGTGTGGCCGCAGCATGGACCCTACACGGCAGCTCTTCCATACCTACGCTAGCTGATGATGCACAAATATTCCCCACTCCTCATGACTCTGAGGCAGGTGGGGAGCCTATCCCCAGGGCAGTAGGGACAAAACCCAAACACCCCAGTTCAGGTTGTCACCCACCAACTCACGTCAATAACGCACTACGGAAGGAAAATGAAGTAACTTCCTTCTGGAGTAGTTTGATCAAGAGCCAGCCCAAACATGAATCCTCCATTCCTCTCCCTCTGCCTGGCCCTAACAAAGAACAGTTAGTGCGTTAGAGACAGGATGTGTACTTGCTGGAGAAAAGCCCTGTAATGGGACCCTACAGAGTAAAGGAGGGAATGGAAGTTCTGTCCCAAAATCAAGCAAAAAGCTATTTGCCATTCTTCTGAGGTTTGCCAAAGGAAGTTGAAATTATTTTGAGATCTAGAAGGATAAAAACGTATAGGACCAGGCGATGGTGGCACATGCCTTTAATCCCAGCACTTGGGAGGCAGAGCCAGGCGGATCTCTGTGAGTTCGAGGCCAGGCTGGTCTACAGAGCGAGATCCAGGACAGGCTCCAAAACTACAGAGAGAAACCCTGTCTCGAAAAACAAAACAAAACAAAACAAACAAACAAACAAATCAGGGTCGCTGGGCAATGGTGACACAAACCTTTAATCCCAGCACTCGGGAGGCAGAGGCAGGCAGATCTCGAGTTCGAGGGCAGCCTGGTCTATAGAGTGAGTTCCAGGACAGCCAGGGCTGTTACACAGAGGAACCTTGTTTGAAAAAAACAAACAAAACAACAACAACAACAAAAAAAAAAAACAGAAAAAAAAAACCCAGGGTCTTGTCCAGTATGTTGGACAGGTCTGGTTCAGTCCCGGGGAGTAAGAGTCACTGTTGGTTTGGAATTTGAAAAAAAAAAGTTGTAGATATATTGGGAAGAAAGAACCATTGTACAATGGCTGAAAAGGGAGTGAATGGCTGGTTCAAGGGCAAGAGGAGTGTTCGAGCCAAACAGAGAGGGGGAAATCTAAACTGTCCTCACTCAGGGGCTCAAGCCACTTGCTGGAATTGTTGCAATGCAAAAGGAATTAACGAAGGAGATGAGTTCAAGACCTTAAGATGGGAAAGCCACTTTGGGAATTCCCAAGGAAGGGCAAAGCAAACTGATATTGCCCAAGAGCTAATGAAAAGGATTGAACATTATTTTTCCAGGAACAGACCATTGTAATCAATGAGGCTTAGTGGAAGAAGGATGGACAATATACAAGACAGATCCGTGGAACACCTAGCAGAACTCTGCTGGGACAAGCTATAAATGAAAAAGTCTGTAAATCTACAGACTTTAAAACAGACATACACGCTAGCAGAAGAGGCTAAGAGAATATCATCCCTATAGTGAAATACGTATCAGGACGTTTTTGTTCAATAGAGTGTACTGCCCTTTTAGCAGTAGGTACTATATACCCACCACTGGCAGCCAGAGAAGCACTTTCCCTTGAAAGTGAGATACAGACACCTGCTTATTGACAGGAAGCACTGAGAAGGCCATTCTTGATCACCAGGTGTAATGGGATAGTAAAAAAAGCAATATTTTACATCAATAACTATAACATAGCAGTTTTGAGGGCCCATGGTAAGAGAGGGAACTCCAGGTGGATGAGCATTAATGGCATGGAGATCTTGTCATTTTGGGGATTTGGATTTTTGGGAATATAGACGATAGATAGATAACAGCACTGAACAATGAGTTCTATATGGTCTGGCTAACGTTGTTCTTAGATTAGCTGACAGTTTCCCTCCATTAATTGGCCACTGACCTCCCCAATCAGGGGCCTTTGATCCAAGAATGTTTGGGTAGGTGTTCTCATGGCCCTGAGGGAAAGGATATTCAGGAGTTGTCACAACCCCACTGAGACAGGGGGTCTCTACCCAGGGGAGAAAGATAAGGGTAAAACAAAGAGGTGCAAAGGTCAGTTTGAGTTTGGAAAACTGCACAGAAGGTTTCTGTTCTTACAAAGGAGGGGATTACTTTAGTCACTCCCGAATGTCTAAAACTGGGACTCAGTGGGTCCATTAGAAGGCCATGATTATTTCACTATAATGGGAACACCAGCTGCTGTGTCTCCAATGCCCTTCATGGGAATCGGGTTGACAGAAACACCAACTGAGTCCAGTGTGCTCTGTGGAATCAAGCTCTTGCCTGGCCCATTATCAGGCTCTCTGGGGTTGGATAAGGATTAATAATCAACCTTGTCAATTGAGTTAGAGCTTGCAAACAAAACTTTGATACTCCAGTCTGATTTACCTAAAATCAAGTCAAAACGTTCGCTGGAAGGGGTTCCCACACATCTGTGGGGAGCCTCTTCACCTCTCCTAATACATCCAATTTTATATCCTTAATTACAGATAAATCTAGTAAAGAATTACCTTTAGTAATCAGACCTCTTAATGTCTTGGGTTTGGGGTGGAGCTGGGTGGCATGCAGCAGAGGCACAAGGTGTGGAATCTGTGGTTCCAGGCTGTGTTCCTGCAGAGGCAGCAAGGGCCAGGGCCTGGGACCACAGACAGGGACCCACAGGGGTTGCTGGTCTCATCCATCCACCCTCGGCACTCATTCTTGTGTCCCCCAGCTGGACTGCCTTCACTATCAACTCTAGAAGGACACTGACTGCCCAGTGAAACCATCTTTACCTCCAGGGTGTATTCTAGAAGGGAGGTTTACCATACTGAAGTCTGTTAGTAAGTTCTGTTTACAATGTTTGGAAATGGCCCCTTTTCCCACACTGGAAACACAGAGGGCCACACAGCTGCTGCTGGAATCGGAGTCCTCAGTTCCTCTGTGCCGATGCTCTGGTGGGCTGTTACTGATCAGCATGGTATGAAAAGGACTAGCAACTACAGATGAGGGTGTCTCTGCAATCAGAATTTGCCTTTTTCTGAGCTAATGAAAGGTAAGGCGGCAGCAGCTCCTTTATTATCTATCTGTCTTTCCACAGCTTGCTGTGCAGACAATCAACCAAGTCCACAAGGGGCTCTGCAGACTTGTCTGATGGTGGAAAGGGACCCTGAGGAAGTATTAGGATCGGCAACTTTGGTCCCAGCCCTTGTAGTAGCTGAGGCTGGCAAGCTGCTGAGCCCCGGCTTCAGAGTTTCCTTGTCTGATTAATTGACCTTAAGTAACGTTTATGAGGGGCTGCTACCTTTGGTCGTGATCAGCATGGACAGGCATTTGTCCATCCATTCTGGGGGCCACAGACTATATTAAGCAGTGGTGAGAATTGTTTTTATAAGGGCTTGTCATTCAAAAGGTATCACTTCATATGTATTTGCAATAACATTATTATTCCTCCAGTAAAGTGGTTTGAACCTCATTCTCTGTGACACACTTTGTGAGATCTTTGTAGATGGCAAATGGAGCCCTTCTCAGGCAGGGTCTGGTTCTACTTCTCTAATGCAGCCACTGATTCTCCTGCCTGAGAAGCTTCTTTAAGGCCACTTTATGGAGGTGGAAAATTTAATTAATTAATTAATTAATTTGTTTATTGAGATAAGTTTTCCCTGTGTAACCCTGGGGCTGTCCTGGATCTCACTCTGTAGACCAGGCTGGCCTTGAACTCAGAGGTCCTCCTGCCTATGCCTCCTGAGTGCTGGGATTAAAGGCATGCAGCGGCACTGCCCAGATGGGGTGTGGATACTTTATTTTATTACCAGGTGGCAGAGAATTAGGCAGAGGAGGTGCATCCTTTTGGAAAGGCTGTAGGCTGAACTAACCTGGTTAAAGGACTAAATGTTTTAGTTGAACCGGCTGCATAGAGCAATGCAGCTGGTCAGCAGTTCTTTCCCAAGACTCCTGAATCAAGGGTCCTACGGTTAGGATACCAGAGACAATATATTTGTCTTAACGACACTTTAGCTCCAATCTCTTTAAGTAAAGCTTTCAATTGCTCTGCATGAGTGTGCTTCAGGAGACAGGGAATTCCCCATTGTAAGAGAGGTTGAGAGCCAAGGTGAGACTGTAGAGGCAACAAGCTTTTGGGAAAGCCTGCTTGCTGCTTGTGACACACTGAGAAGTTGAGGCAAATGAGCCTGATGGAGAGAAAAGAAGAAAAGTGTAAGCCGAGTGTGTGTGTGTGCCCTGCTCCTGGGAGCTGCTTACCGAGAGCCAATCTGAGACGTCCTCGTTTCCCTTTTCCTGGGGACCTCTCCACCCTGCAGGGGGACAAGGAAGGAGCTTCGCGGGGAGATTCTTGTTGCTCTGTGTCCTTTCTGGTGACCAAGATGTCCTAAATTTAAAATCCCTCTTTCCTAAGGGCTCTTCGGATGCTCACGTGAGTTCAGATCAATCAATCATTCCTCAACAGAATTTATCAATAACACAAGGAGCAACCAGGAGCCAGAGGCAGATGGGATCTCTATAAGTTCAAGGCCAGCCTGGTCTACAGAGTGTTCCAGGACAGCCAGGGTTATATAGAAAAACCTTGTCTCAAAACAAACACAACACAACACAACAACAATAACAAAACACACAATAAGGAATGAAAACGAAGCAACTCCTAT